GATCCCTCTGCAGATTTCTGGATTTCTTTCTCTTCATAGCTCCCTTCAACCTCTGAATCCTCAACTGAGAGTGCCCTCTGAGCTCTGCTCAGGTTTGTCATCTCTGCACTGTTGCCTGAAGGGAATCCAAGCAGAAAGTTGGAGCAATTATAGGGTTCATCATATTTTTTTCCCTTCTCTCAATGTGATGCTTGTTGCACAATGTCTGACAACAGTTGTCTCATATAATTTGTCCATTTTTCTAGTTGTTTACAGAGGGAGGGCAAGTTCAGCTTCAGTTACTCCATTATGGAAAGAAACAGTAGTCCTTTCACATTTATCTTTTACTATAATTCTCTCTGCAGGTATGCCATTGAAGTATTTATTTCAATGATTTTATTTTTTTAATAATTTTTTTCTATCTAGAGGTTTTAATTTCAATGATTATATTTGTCATCTCTTGTATTTAACTGATTTTTAAATCTACCTCGTCCTATTTTGATTATAGTTTGAGCCTTACTCCAGTTTTGTATACCTTATTTTTTTCAAATAGTTAAATTACACTTATTTTATATTCTGTATCTAATAATTCCAACATCTGAAATCCTTCTTAGGACTAATCCTGCTATTTGATGTTTGTGCTGAGTCTTGCTCACAATGCCTTGATTCCTTATGCATCCTGCAATTTGAGGTTCTGAGTTCATATTTGATGGGGCTTTATCTATTGGAATCCTTTGAGACTTGGGCTTAAATATCCAGAGATTTATTTTTGCTTTGGCCAAGGTCTGACAGTATTGTTAGCCTAAGACTGCTTTAAGGTAATTTACCAGCCTGTGCTTTCCTGGCCCACACAGATGGTGCAAATTAGAAGCTCGCACATGCATTAAGGCAAGCTGCGGTTATAAAATTCCTAAGGGAATTTTTTTTCCATTCTGCCCAGAGCTCTCATCCTGAAAGATACATTTTCTTATCATCTCCCTGTTGCGGGGGGTGAAATGTTTTCCTAAGTTCATACTTCTACAGAGGATGTAACTCTTCAGGATATGGAGGTTGGAGTCAGTTCTAAGTCTTCGCCAATTATAGTCCTATAGTCTCATTTCCTGGTTTCCTCTAGCCTTTAGAAGATGGACTTGTAGTTTACTGAGACTGGCAAATGCCTCAAGAGCAGGTGCAGAATCAGCTTTAACTTATCACTTTTGTTTCCAGATCCTTACATCTTCTGCCTCTGAGATGATGATGATGATGATAGATAATACTGTTAAGCTCAATCCTGTATTTAAAATGATGTTTATTATATTTAATCCAGGATTTCTAGTTGATTTGTATGAGAGAATTTTTCAGGCTAGCTAGAACACCAGACTGCTTGAAATGCAAGTCTCACTTCAATTGTTCACCTGGCTGGCACCTTATCTTCCTTCAGATCTCACCTCAAATGCCAACATCCTATCTTAAGTAGCTGCTTCCCCCAACCAGTTATTCTCCCTCACATCGCTCTTTTTATCTTTCTCTCATCACACTCTACAATGATATTTTTTCCAAGGAGTTTTTCGATGTACATTGTCTGTCTCTCCCATTGGTGTGTAAGAGCCCTGGGGACAGTCACCAAATATCTATTTTCTTCTGTATTTGCAGCCCCAGGAACAGTGTGTATCACAGAATGGGCATCAAATATTCGTTGGATGAATATTTTTTTTTCTTGAAGCAAATATAAATGAATATACAGCATAAAACATGTTTCTAAAATATCAGATTATGTCAGCAAGTGCAACATGTGAATGCTCAGAATTCTTAGTTTGGTGTTTATGCTTTGTGGTCTCAAATTGTCAAAAAGTTAGATAATTATTCTTCAGTAATCCCAGAGAGGGCAGCTAAGTTAAGAATACATTGCTTGGGCCAGCCCCGTGGCCTAGCGGTTGACTGCGGGCGCTCTGCTGCTGGCGGCCCAGGTTCGGATCCTGGGTGCGCACTGACGCACCGCTTCTCCGGCCATGCTGGGGCCGCGTCCCACATACAGCAACTAGAAGGATGTGCAGCTATGACATACAACTATCTACTGGGGCTTTGGGGGAAAAAATAAATAAACAAATAAAATTAAAAAAAAAAAAAAGAAAAAGAACACATTGCTGCCCAGCAATAGGATAATATTTTCCCAGAAATCAAGAACGGTGCTACCCTAAATCATTTAAGTTCTTTATAATTGAGGGATAATTCAGGTATCTGGACAACCGTGGTGGCATAAAATTCAACAGGTATTTCAATTTGTGCATGACTTTCATAATGAATTCTGACGTTGTTACCCTTTTATCAAATAAAAAAGTAAGAAAGTGATTTTTATTTTAGTATGTTTAGCTTTTATGAAGTCTTTAGTAAGAATTATGAAAATGCCATTCAGAGAGCAGCTTAAAAATATCTCCAGGACATGATACCTCCCCACCTCCAGACAGGATTGACGCCTGTGTCACCCACCTCTCTCGTGTCTAAGCAGGTAGGAACTCTTTCACAGGGAATTGAGTTCTGCATTTAGCTATTTTGACACATGAAATCCCATGAGAAAAACTCTGAGCTTAGAAAATGTAGTCTAAATAAGACTAATTTCCTCCCTTGCAAATCCTGGGAATTTTGTTTTAATAAAATTCTCCCACTGTTCATAACAGGTTTCTCTTGGGAAAAATATCTCCTGGAATAATGGCAACCATGTACCCTAACCGCCCCCCCCAACAACAAAAACCATAAAGTAAATATTTGTTGAGTGCTTATAATAGGTCAAACACTGAGTTAAGAGATTTATCTGCATTTCTTATTTTTCTTTTGGTGAGGAAGATTGGCTCTGAGCTAACACCTGTGCCAATCTTCCTCTATTTTGTATGTGGGATGCTGCCACAGCATGGCTTGATGAGTGATACGTAGGTCCATGCCAGGGATCCAAACCTGTGAACCCTGGGCCGCTGAAGCAGAGTGCATGAACTTAACCACTACACCACTGGGCCAGCCCCTGCATTTCTTTATTTAAATCTTAAGAATCTTCTTATGATGTAATTATTATTATTATTATTACCACCTATAGTTAAGTAAACTGGAGTAGAGAGATGAGGGAACTTCTGCAAGGAGACATAGTTACAAGGTTAGTTAGTGGAGTTTATGTTCTGTAACAATTCTTTATACTGCTTCACACACACAAAAATATATTTAATACTTTAATAAGGACTTAGTCCTTATGTTTTGGAAGCAGATCCAGCACTCAAATTTCTAAGACTGATAATTCCACATTCTTTTTTCTTTCATTGTTGGAAAACCAAATCAGAAATCCATATCATGAGCTGAGAGAATATGTGCTTGGGTCTATATAGAACACAAATCTAAATCAGTTGGAAGCTTTATTCATACATATTTCCCCAATTTTTTTGAAAGTCCCTACATTGTATCTAAGTACTATATTAGTGACATTTAACTCAAAATTGTATAACAAATTTTATTTATCTTCAGTGACAATCACTATTTGATTTGAGCCTACAACCATGAATCTTGTTGAACTACTAGTTCATGAATGCTCCCTAATTAGGTGATCTTCTTGGACTAAAAGTTACAGCTGGTTTATGATCTCTGTGTTCAAGGAGACTCTAAATCAGACAACTGGAATCTAAAATAAGGATTTTACATTATCTTGTATCTCAAGCTATTCTAAAGAATTACACTCCAACTCTCATCACTTTTAAAAACTTATAATTCTCCGTTATCTCTGAAGTTGGTGAGTAATAAAGCGAGGCATGGAACTCCTGTAAGACTGATAGCCAGAGAAATACTGATGTATAAGAACTTGTCTCTGGTCAGCTTGGCCTATACTTCATTTGGTTTAACTTCTTATTCTTTTGCTTGTATGTTTTCCTACTTTCTTCCCCTTGCATTCTTCTGGGATTTAACCCAGTTGGAAAGTTAAGTTCTTAGCACTAAGTGGCTAAGAAAGAAATACTCAAATGCACTTGGACCACCCACCACCCACACCTCATAATGATGCTCTTTAATGATGGTGAGCATCAGCACCTGAAGATGGATCCCTTTTGCTTCCCTGGTGGGGGTGGGAAAGTACTGGGGAATTCTGAGAGCTGTTGAAATTTGATGAAGGCTGTGTTCAACTTTCTATTGCACTGAAACATTAAAAAAAAATCACAGGGTCTTTGTACAATAGGCATATGTCTCTGAAAAGACTACACTGGCCATTTCTCCAACTTATATTTTCCAAGGCCAGTAGTTTAGTTTTTGTTTCTGTTTTCTTCAACTTTAACTATAGACCCCAAATTTAAAAATAATATAATGGTCTCATATTCAAGAATCTTATGAATTTTCTTTATAGAAAATGGGAGTTGTAAAAGGAATTGATACTTCTTTAAGCAGCTTGAGAGAAATAATTCTTTTGTCTCATATTCCAGATGCATTGTCACCTACATCACAATTTTGTGGAAAAGAGCTATTGAAATAACAGTACTCCAGTGTTGCTTTGCACTATACTACCATGATTATACCAGGCATCTAAAGGGCCAACACTTGTGGGACATGGTGTCCTTGCAAAGATATTTAGAACAAGACAAAAAAGAAAAACTTGAAAGGAGAGACCCTAGATAAAACTGATGCCAAAATATTTAATGTCATATTCCAATATTAAAATTTATTTAACTATAACTATTTTCAAATGGATAAGTTGACATAATTTTCTTTTTGCTTGAAAATTGCCATGAATGAATTTTGAGAGATTAAATTAATAATTATTATGGGAGATTAATTTTGATGGGGAGAATGATACTTTATTTCCTCTGTTATATAAATGAATTGAATTTGTTTTAGAAATAAAAAAAAACATTACTTCCAACTTTCTATTATAATTGAGTATTAACCCAGGGAGGTCATTTACTGTCTCAGGAATTCAGTTATTGTATCAAAAAAAGTCCCTAAGATTTAGAATAAATATTAATTAAGATGCAAACTCCAGTCCCGTGCACCCTGTCTAGTCTGAGAGATCATCCACTCACCTATGGTTTTGGCAGGCACGCAGAGCAGTGTCTCCACCGCTCTCCACATCTGAGACTTTTTCTTCTTTCAAATGCTCTTCTGCTTCCTCTAGGGGGCTGCTTTTGGAAAGGAAGTGTTCAGGTTCTCCAGCACACTCTTCTCTCTGATCTGTTTCAATCTGAATTAAAGGCACTTCCCTAGAGCAAAGTGATGGCCTGGTGTGGCTTAGAGGGACAGCATCATGGCCTGAGGAAGTTTCCTTTTTTGAATCTAAATCGTTGTGGTTTGTAAGAGGAGCAGCTTTGCTTGGAGACAACTCTGGGGGATGTTTGCTTTCAGTAAGAGAGTCTTTCCTTGGGGAATCAACAGACTCCTGAACAAGAAGCGTTGGCCCACTTTGCGCTCTAGTCGAAGCTAATCTATTTGCACACTTCTCCACTTGCGAGGGAGAGCCCCCAGAAACAGGTTCAGCATCAGCTGCCTCAGCGTCATCCACTATAATTTTGTTCTTTCGCATGAGGGCCTCGATTGAATTTGCCCACGTCTCATGAATTAGCATGTTTGTGATGTGGTCAGTCCCACCTCTCCGATACAAGCAAGAGTCAGATTTGCAGAGCCCCGATGAGGAAGCACTACTGACTGGCTGTACGCTTAGGAAATCTTGCTGGCTGTTTTGAGCAAAGCTGTCTAAGGAGTTGGCTTTGATGGGTGCATTCACCGTCAGCCTGGCACCCAGGGACCTGCTATCTGGCATGGACGACTGTCTATAACACAATGGGGATCGCAGAAAAGGAGACAGTAAGCCGGCTGTCCAATCCTGGCTGCTGCTTCTGGAGGAGGTGCTGTCTTTGCTTTCTCTTTCAATGTCCCTCAGCATGTACCTATAGAACTCCTCCGTTATGCTCTCGGTGCTGGACTGCTTAGAGGGACAGCTTGGCCTCACACTGAGGTGGTCATTTTTCCGGCACGCCTGTTGCATAGCTGAGTTCAGAATGCTGCTGGCATTCTTGCCTGCATAGTAATCCAGCAATAACTCAAATCCTCTTCCTTCATTTTCCATCTGGTTCACCATGAACCTGGAAAACTCATCAGTGATGCTCTCACAGCTCGACTGCTTGGAGACAGAGCTGGCCCTGCTAACTGGCTGACTTAGGGTACTCATTAAACCCAGGCTATTTACAAACGCCCTGGCGTTAGAGTTCTCCTCTGGAATGCTTTCACAGCTGGAGGCCTTCAGCCGATTCCACCTGTCTCCACTGAGTAACCGATTCCGGGTATAGGTCTGGGCCTGCCAAACACCGTCCACCATGGAGAACTCTGTTAGGTTCATGATGTTGGCTGCCACTTCATTTGCAAAAATATTAACAGAATCTGGGACGTCCTCAAGGTTCATAGACTCGTCCACAACCCTGTTCATCAGCTTCTCTTTAAGCTCCGGGTGCTCATCCGTTTTCCTCTTGATCTCGCTGAGCCGTGGTGGCTTGTGTTTCCTTATGGTGGCCCCACCGGCCTGGCTCTCCTTCCTTTTCAAGGATCGGCAGGATATGTTTGGGGTAACCAGAAACTCATTCCCTCTTTTCCACGCACAAAACCAGGGTTGTTTTCCATTTGAGTTGTCAAGGCAAATCGCTGCGATTTCAGTTGCCATGGAAACAATCGTCTCTGCTAATTCTTCTGCAAAGTCTGTAATGCAGTATACGTCTGCTTGTTTTGCATGGAGCATGGATTGAGCAGGAAGCAGCAAGTCATTCCCTAACAAAGACAGGTTAACTTGAACTTCATTGTTTACAGGTGAGGCACCATTGTAGTTTTCTTGGGCATTTGCATGGCTGCTGTCCTCAGCATCCTGGGAACTGCTGCTGCACTTGCCTACTGTTGGTGTCCTCTCTCCCTCTGAGGAGGATCTGCATTCATTTTCATTGGGACTGAGTATCTGATGAGGGTTTTTTGTATCCTCTCCCACATCTTTTCCTTTCAGATATATCTCCTTGGGGGATATTTTAGCAGTCAAAGAATCAGCCACTCTCGGACTACAGGACAACTCAGATTGCAGTGTGGGGTTCTGGAAGAGGCCTGGTTTTACTGGGCCCTTGTTATCTTGTTTAACATGCACATCATCTACCAGATCATTGATAACAAGACTAGTGCTATTGCTAGGTGGATGGCCACTGGAGTATTCGGTGGCTTTTGTCCATGCTTGACTAGCAGCCTGATCAGACAGCTGGCCATCTAGCTCTGTTTCCCTCCATCTGATGGTCTCCTTAGAAAGAACTGTGGGACATTCACCAAGCTGTATAATATGGCTCATCTTCTTGAAAGTGAAGCATATCACTTTGAAGAGCAGTTGATGTGTACTTTCCATTAAGGTGTTCAGAGTTTCAGATGAATGCCTGCCATCATTGGGGTCGACTATTCTATTTTTCTGGGGAACTTCATCAATGGAATGCTTCAGGATAACATCGGAGAGAGTCTGTGCCAGTTCATTGCCCGTAACATTTTCTGAGCACAAGCTCTGAGGCTTGGAAGCAGTTTCTATGATTCTCCTGGTCATGGATTCCATGAGGTCTCCAATACTGCTGTAGGCATTAGGTTTCATTAAAACCAGAGCAGCCTCCTTGAGCAATGCCTCTGCAATGGCTTCATTCCCCAGCACCATGCTCCTCCCTGTCGCTAGACTACAAAGTGGGGGGATTGCTGCAGAAGCTTCAGTTGCAGGCAAGAGGCCACTTGAAGCCACAGGGCACTTCGCCTCTCCTGTTTCACCCAGGCCACAGACAGCAATGGCACTCGCCACCTGAGTCATGCCACACAAAGCAGATGGAAATGAGTATTCATTGATGGAAGGTTCCTTGAGTACTTGGGATGCTTGAATTTGTAGCAGTTCATTGCCACCCATTGGATGGTTTGAAGCCAGGGATTCTTGCTCCATTTTGAATCTTTCTGTGGCCTGTGGACTGGAAATGGTTCCAATCACAGTGGCTGCATAAGCTAATGCTATTTCTAGAGCACTCTGGGGGTGTCTGCTGGTGTTCTCTCCAGAGAGGACGCCTGAGGTTTCAACAGAGACTTCTGTCTTGGGCCACAAGGAGATGCCTGGCTCAGGGGCGGCATCGCTGCCCTCTGGACTCTGAACAATGACTATTTTGGGGAGCTCATTCCATGACTGAGGGACCATGATATCTTTTGTGGAACAGCCACTGGGAAGCAGAGCACTTCCTACAGAAACACTGGCGGCAGATTCCTGGGGTAGCGTAGGTGGAGACTGAGATAATCTAATAAATGCATCTTGCAGCACAGACTCTGCTAAATTTGTAGCATACTTGCCAGTTGTGACTTCTCCTGGTTGTATGGGAGGAACAGAGTTTGTTCCGTCTTCATGGTCTCCTGGGTCTAAGCTGCTGCCATGCTCAATGATAGTACCACCTGCAGAAGGTCGATCTTTCTTAACCATCCTGGAGAAGTAAGCAGCATCTGGAATATACAGTGTCTGTGATTTTTCCTCTTGACCTTTACAATTTTCTGAATAATAACAATTTGTGGCTGGTCTCTCATTCTCTACAGCTTCACCTTTCCATTCTGAGGGCCTGGCTGAGGGATCTAGACTCTGCAAAGTTGTGTCTTCTGCTACTTTTTCCAGAGATCCTTCTGTTTTAATCAACAGTGTATGATATTTGCTAATGTATTTGTCTTCCAAAGTATAAAGCAACTTTTCCTTGTTGTAATTCCATTCCTCCTGGATGGCTTCCTTTGGATTTTTACTTTCCAAAACATGGGCTGAGATATTTATATTTTCATAACCTAGAAGAGAAAATGAGGGCCATTATTAATTTTTGGATGGCAGGTTCTCATGAGTCTAAAATAACAATTACTTTCTAAAAATGCCTTAAAAGTACCAGGTGTTTTTTTTTTTCCCTAAAAATAGCATTTTTAATGTTTCTTCAAGAAAAATGAATCTGAAAAAGTTTTGAGTTCCAGTTGGGAATGCAACCCAACAAGATGGCTTCCAATGTGGGATATGAATGTAAGCACTAGAGTGAAAGAAGAAAGTGTTTGGAAGACGAGGGCTGGTCACCATTCTTTAGGAGGAAAGTAACCCAACAAGTGCATCTTAGAGCTTCCCAGTGGGTACAGAGGGAGGAGGGAGGATGTTTAGAGCAACCTCAATAGTGGGCCTTGTGCAACGATTTGCTCTGAAGTTTGCATAGGACTTGCCCCAGAAACAGTGGCAGTGATATCTGGGACAACCCTTCCTCTGTGGCTAAGAGTGGGGAAGAGGAATCCATTGTTCACTGAGCTCTATTAATGAGTCAATCAAAAGATGAATGAATGAGTGCTAAGCACTCTCCTGGGTTATTTCCTTCTGTCCTCACAATAATGATAGTTAAATATAATAAATATATACAGATTAATAAAATAAATATAATAGTGCTAGAGGTACTATTATACTCCTAAATTACGGATAAGGAAAGTGGAGCTGGAAAAGGTGAGATAACTGGCTCCAGGTTTCACTGCCTCAAAGAGTCAGTGCTAGAATTCAGGACAGTTTAACTTAGCTTCAACTACTAGGTGGCTTTTATGGAAGTCTTAGGGAAGTGAACTTTCCTCCCAGTGATAGTCTCCATCTCTTGGCAGGCAGGAGGATTTCCCTTTAAAACAAACAGATTTCCTTCAGCATCCCTAAGGCATCTTTAGGGAGTCTGGACCCGTCTAACCATTACTGTATTAAGAGCATTAGTCAGCATCCCCACTAGCTTTCTCTTCCCCACCTCTCCTCCCTAAACTCAGTAAGTGAAGATTGTGATGTGTCAGCCAAACTGATGTGGCCTGAAACTTTTCTGAAATTTCACCCAGACCTTTTTATAGGGTGACTCATTTCAGGATGCACATTCGTTTTATGGGAAAGTTCTCACCGTTGCTGTATTCTTCCACCTCGCTTTCCTCCTCTAAGTGCTCTGAGGCGGTGAGAAAGTCTTCCTCAATTGAAGACAAGGAACAGTTTGTGTCATCCTCCACTTTCAAGATGTTCGTTTCCAGGTGGAGCTGTCGCTCCTGCACCAGTTCCAGGCCAAGCAAAAATTTGTTGATTTCAAAGATGATGCAATTGGTACTGTTTGGTCTGTTCCCTCTTGCACACTGGACCAGGCAGATATCTGGCAGCCATGGACACTAAAAGTGGAGGAAAAAAGGCACTTATTAAAAGAGAAAAATAAAAAACCATTGCCTCTGACCTTTCTTCTTCCACTAATATCTCCTGTTAGAAAGAGTGGGGACCTTTAAAATATTTGGAATATTTCCTGGGCTTATATTGATGAACTGATTGAAAAAAATTCAAGGAATGCTTAGGAACATCTAGTACCCAGAAAAAGTTTGACTTAGGGGAAAATAGACCAGTTGTATCACATATTTTTGTTCTCTCCCTTCAAAGCAAAAATTGCATTGGGCAAAGTTAAACAGGCCAGGAAGACTTTATTCAATGCTATTAAAATAGGGGACAGAGGGCAGAGCTGAGTTGGATCACAAAACCACTGAAACAAAAAGCAATAGGGTTGTTAAGAGCTGTGTAGGTGTAGGAGGATTGTAGGCCATCTGTGTTTACTAATTGGCTCTACCCAAAGGAAAAGGAAACTTTCCTGTATCTTCATGGCAGGAGGTAGTTTTGCAAATTGGAGTGAGGTGCCCACTGAAGTTAGGCTCCTGTCCTTCCACAGAGATAGGAGTACTATCTTCTTTGATGATTATATTTCAAAGAGATGATTCCTAAGTCTTTGAGAAGGACATTCCTGGGTTGTAAAACTGGCAAGAAGCTTTTAAAAAAGATTTACGTCTCAAAGGGGCAGATAAATAGTTTATAAGTTTTCTAAAGTAAATTTTCTAAGAAAAGGGAGGAGGGCCTGGAGTTAGGAAGAAGGCTGTCTAAAGTTTAATGTTGAGCCCATCTTGGGCACCCCTCTTGATTAAACTGAGTCCCAGTTTCTCAGACCAATATCTTTTCCTTCATTCGTGATATTCACTAAAACCTCTGCCAGTATTTCAGATGTGTATCAAGTCTTCTATCAACTACAGTTAGAATTTATCATTTGTATTGCTCATCTGAAGAAGCAGCCAAAATGTGATTTAAAAAAATCCACTGGAAGTGAATTAATTGCCTCTAAAAGATCAGTGTATGGGGACAGCAGTGATAAGAAGGCCCAAATCATTGAATGGTGTCCCAGTGAGACCCGTTAACTCTGTTCAGTTCTGGGGTTACAAACTGTATCCCTATTCTCCACTACATATCTTCACTATTCATATTGTCGTTCATTAGGATATCCATAAAAAAGTTTCAATTGCTTGTACACAGATTACTACTAAGTTACAAACATGTCTGATGCATCAGGGTTTTCATTTTTATAAAAGGACCAATATGCTGATTTATAGCAATTTTTAAGAGAAAATTCTTTGAATGAAAATGAGAGTTAGTGGGTAGGGGGAAGCTAAATAAATTCATCTCAAAGTAGAATCTGAAATGTTTGGGAAAAATACTTTATGTTTAAATGTTCACGTTATAAAAATTATTTAAATCATATGCTTAGCTGTGGTTGGAGTTAATCGGATCTAATCCTAGTTAACTGGCCATTTTGGAATCCTTGAGTCTGAATATACGCGTGGTTGAGTGGTATGTGTACATGCAGAGAAATGCGTACGTATAGACATTCAAATTGTATTTCTGCAAGAAGTATATCTTTTTCTTACATAGATATCACTTATCAATCTCTTTGATTGGATATTATAATTAGAGTAATTCTAGGAGAGATGATTATAAAATGAAAAATTCTATCATTCTCCACGGGGTCTAAGGATCGATCCCGAGGGGGCTCAGAAATAGAATTCATCAATGTGCTTATGTGATTAAGTCTGTTTTTCAATAAAGATGGTCCATTACCTTGCTTTTCAAAGTGTAGGTTGTGGGCCAGCAGCCTAGGCGTCACCTGGGAGCTTGTTAGTAATGTATAATCTTAGGACCCACCCCAGATCTACTAAATCAGAATCTGCATTTTCAACGAATCTCTTGGAGATTTCTACACTCATCAACGCTTGCGAGGTACTGGTCTATAGCTTTTATGAAATTCACAAAGGGTCTGCAACCCCCCAAATGGTGAGGAACTACTGTTATAGAGTAACAGTAGCTGGCTTGATTAATTTTCTTTCCACTGAATTCAGACATAATATACAAAATTGAAATTTACTGCATATTTTCTGAGTGCCTGTTATATGCAAGGTATGCTGGGAGGGGCAAACATGAACCACATGTTGGGGGGGGGAGGGACACAATATACTACCAGTGGGTCAGACATAAATAAAAATTATTATAAAGTTGAACCACAGGAAGTTGCCATATTTGCGGGTCAAAATGATTGTATATCGGTCATTTCACTTCATTCAGATTAAATATACATAACATAAGGTAAAAAGTGGTAGGAATCAAAAGAAATATTAACAAGGCAATATGAAAAATTAAGTAGTACTTCAAGTTAGACAGAGAAATCCTGTTATTCGATGTGCAATGCTACACAGCTATGGTATTTGTAGAAAGAAAATATATTTTCTTAGCAATCTTCTTGAAAGTAAATAAACATCCTGGGAGTCTTAGGTAAATGAAGATCAAACAGTAAAGCCTATAAAATAATGGCAGGTATTATTAAATAATTTTTACGGTAGTCATTTAGGTGCTTTGCGTATCTTGTTACCTCCAATGCAAACAATTTTCTATGAGGTTGGTGGTGCTATTGCTCTTTCACAGATGAGAAAACAGAGCCACAGAAAGGCTAACTGGTTCTCTCAAGGTCACACAAAGCGAAGAGGCAGCATTGCAATCCAGGTCTGTTGGACTCCAATTCGTGCATCCTGTCTAATTCTTCCCATGGCATCTGGTCCAACTGACAAAGATCCAGCATCCGCAGAAGATGTGCAATTAGGAAAAGACAGTGGGTTGCACCTGGACCTCCTCAAACTCACGCATGCTCAGTAAAATTATGTGTTCATCTCATAGAAAGGACAGTCACAGGAGTAGATCTTATTACTGTACACAATAAGCATCTCAGAAAAATTTTCTTCTGTAGGAAAATAATTGACTTTACTTACATTTTCCACTCAGTATTTTACTTGACTCTTGACTATTGTAATGATTATTTTTCTTAAGATATTTTTAGAGTCTTATCCTAAGACTCTACTAAGAACAGTTTGAGGAAGGAAAAGGTAACTGCTGTGCCCCCCCAGTGTTTGTAGCTCACTGGTATGTATTCATTAGTCTTTTGAGACACATGTGCATGGACACTTGTGCATGTGTTTATATATATTTGATAATATTCATAAGAAATAAGGTCTGAGAAGATGCCAGACTGCAAGGAGGTAGCTCCATGAGAGCAAGATGTCTGACTTATTTACTCCACGTCCTCAGCACTAGATACTGTTCAGCTCTTAGGAGGTACAAAATAAGTATTCATTGAATGAATGAACACGTGGACGAATGAGGGATGTTATGAATATTTTCTTACATTTTTCCAATTGTATATTTTAATTGTAAAATAATGTAGCAACATAAAAAAGCAGTAGAGTCATTTGCTGAGGTAAAAAGACATGAATAAACAAAGAAGAAATTGCTCATAGAGAACAAAACTCCTCAGGAAGCAGAAAAGCTACTCTCTACATTAGCCTTGTAATAATATTGTACTTTTCTTGCCCAAAGGAGCCTAGCCAGTATGTAAATAGATGATACTCTTGTGGTTCTCAGTGTTTTACTCTGCTACCTTATTTTGCTTTAAATAACATTTTCTTTCTACTTCACCTTCCTTCAATTTTTTGGATAGGGAAAGAAAATAAAACACATTGCATTCGAATATCCTTTGTACTTCTCAAGGTGCTTTCATATTATTTCATTAAATCACTTTGACTTGTCTCCGAGAATGGAGAAAAGATATTTTTTTAAATCTCCATCTTACAGAATAGGAAATCAAAGTTAAGAGAAGTAAGGTAATTTGTTACTACTGAAAATTTTAGGATGACCGCCAAAAATCTTCTTTGGCGTTGTAATTTCCTGGGTCAAAGGTGTCAAGTGGCTTGTTGATTCCCTTCGTCACAGGGTCAATGGGAACATTAGCTATGCCCTTGGGACTGATTTAGACTTCCGCAATTAACCCAGCTCAAGTTCCCTCTGCCAATATCTCCAACCTTCCTTACAGATTAATAGGTAGCCAACTTTAATGGGGCAAGGCAGCCAAACAGAGAATATCCCTAAAAGAGTAGGTACCTGCTAATATGGGATTTAGCATTGATATGGTGCCCTAACATTGCTGATCTACTAAAACATATGGATTGTGGTACCTACAAAATGACGTAGGCCTTTGGGTGATCACTGAAGGGTGAAGTGTTACATAGGAAGTGATGGAGACCCTTGGAATAAAGAAGCATGAAACGTTTAAGAGTGTTGTAATTCACAGACAATTCTTAGGAAAAGTATGCAAATTTTGAACATGTTTTGATGGATGATCTTTATCGAGTCCTGGGCAATTTGACTCTTCCTGACCCCAGTGAACATCTGTGTTTCTTTTGTGACCCAACATCTTCACCCTTCTTCTGGTTCTCGTACCCTGTGGGGTGCCATTTTCTGGCCCACTCACAGTCCAAGTGATTCATATGCAGTTAATTCACCTTCAACTCCGGAGGTGATCATGTGACCCACACCTGGCTAATCTGGACACCCCATTCCTCAGGCCATAGTGATTAGTTCAGAAATGGGCATGTAATACATGAGAGCCGACAGAACACAATGAGACTTTTGCTGGGAGCCACCTGGAAGAGACTTTCACTCTTGCTCAACTTGAACCCAAAGGGATATTGCTTCCTTGAGGGAAGAGCTTATCTGATAATGGGGAAAACAGAGAAAGCAGGAAAGAGGCCACAAGAGAAAAATCCATGTCCGGAGGACATTGTTCAAATCGCAGTATCTAATCTAGCCACTGGATTTTTTAGTTAAATGAGACCATACATTCTCTTTGTGTTTAGACCATTTTTCTGTCATGTTTAATTAGGAATCTTAACAGGCCTAGTGCAGAAATACTCTTAAAACTCAGGTTTGAAAATTGCTTTCGGTCATCATGGTTTTGCCCAATATAAAGAGAGGGCACTTAGAACCATTTCTGTGTTCTCTTTTCAGATGATTAATTTTCTCACTAAGGAAACGTGTTATTAGATTGACTGGGAAGAATTTTGTTCTAGTCTTGATTAGCAAATTATAATGGGCTATGCATAGATTTTTACGAAGCATCTGGAGTAGAGCAAGAAATAATGAGCAGGCTTCTGAGTTTTTTTGATATTTAGATGGATTGAAGAATAAAAGAAGATTTTAAAGTTTTCCAGCAAAACTATAACACAAGCAAGAACAATTTTGAGGACAACAAATGCTCACTATATTCATCTGTAGCTGTGTCATGTATCGCTATCGACATGAGATTTGAGAAAATTAGCAATCTCTTATACAATGTGTCTTTAGAAACATTTTATATATTTTTCTGTAAATTGATTAAACAATTTTAAATTGTTTCATTTTTCTTCAAGTAAAGTGTTATAATGATTTATGTAATAACAATGAGCATCAGTACATTGAATGAGAATAATAGTATTTTAATTTCTAGTTTATTTTTAGTAACATTCTTTTCTTCTGGGAATTTTATTCTTTGGGCCCAAGAAACTCCCTTTCCATCCTTGGGGCTGCTATCCTGTATTTATTAGGTTGGCTGGTTTGGTGTATCTTAAGAAATAAATAACGTGCAGAAAGAAGAAATTGTGGGATTCTGTGACCACATGGTATAAATTAGAATTTTGGTATTATTCCTGAGACAGAAAACAATTTGGTCTTTGATTATCCAATAGATTTGTAGAAAACCAAACTAACCAATCAATGCCTGTGTGTCTGCTCTAGTTTAAGTGCACCTTAGCACCATGAACTTGAGAAGATAATAAACGTTAGGAGTTGGTATAAGGGAAGCTCCGTCAAACTCTGAGTGGCAATATTTAGGAGAAAAACAAATGAAGACTACTCTTGACTACCAAGACATTTTTGATACTTATGCTATGGGAGCTTAAGTGTAGCATCTGTTTGGGATTCATACTGATTTGTGCCAAGAGCTGACTACAGATAACTTATCACTAGTGAATACCTTATCAACAGTTTATATTTCTTACCTGTGAAACTTCAAAATCTGTCTGGAGATTTCCAGATGTTAACCCACTTAGGAGGACAATTTCATTTTCTTTTGGCTGTTGGACGTTCATGGAGCTGATAAGTTTTGGAAGATCTGGTGAAACGTTGACCAATTTCTGTAGAACAAGAATCTTTATTAGTTTGGATGATTTCTTTTCACTTTCAAAACACTACCCCAAAACTATTTTTCTTGCAAAAATAATCTATTCACACAATTGCTCATACTATAGATTACTTAATCTACTAAGATTATTGCTGGGAAAGATTGTGTAAAATTGAAGCATAAAGCTTTAGACTGGAATAGAAAATTCCTTAAAAATAAAACCTTAAAAAACTTTTTAGTTTTAAATTTTCCAAAGTAAACATTTAATAACTACTGTCACACACAGGTGTACTGTTTTGGAAATTTTTTCCTTTTAAGACCTTGAATTAGAGACTTGTTGACTAATAATCATCTCTCTAATAAAGTCAATAATGATAATATTAATAATAAATTAATTACTAACATTGATTTTATTCTATGTACTAGGCACTAGGCTAAAGACTTTACATATGTTACATCTCACTACATTTTTTTTTTTTTTTTGGTGAGGAAGATTCTCCCTGAGCTAACATCTGTGCCAATCTTCCTCTATTTTGTATGTGGGATACTGCCACAGCATGAAGGATGAGTGGAGTATGTCCGTACCTGGGCTCCAAACCCGGGAACCCAGGCAGCCGAAGCAGAGTGCGCAGAACTTGAGCCACTCAACCACAGGGCTGGCCCCTACATCTCACTACATTTGTGTCCCACACCAACTCTGTATGGATTAGGTGCCTCTATTACTTTCTTTTTACATATAAGTAACCTGAGACCCAGAGAAGAAGATTAGTAACTTGCACAAGTTTATGCATCTAAATCAGTGCCAATATGTCTGCTCTTAGGCACAGCAGAAGACTATCTCAAATAACTCACATAAATTCTTCGAACACACAGTTCTTAAGATGCCAACTTGCTTGAGTCCTTCTTGTTGTCTCTTTGATGGACTTTGCACCATAATTCCATCAAATAAAATCATCTGTATATTTCTTTGGAAAATCTCTCCTGCACTACACAGATGAATGATATTTGGAGCTCAGTGGAAATCCATAATGGATAATCTGTATGGGGAATTGGGTTTGAGAGGCTTCAGGTGCAACATTGTCAAGAAAAAATATTATAGGAGGAAGTGAGTAATTGCAGGTCTACTATTCTGTGATAATCAAACTGCAAATAGTGTGCTGTTATACAATAAACACCCAATAATGTTTATACCAAATAGGAGATCAAACCATCTTCAGCTTTGGGCATGAAATGATGATCATGTCACACCAATTAATTCTTCCCATTGTACCCACAGTTCCCTGACCCCTTTTCACACAGTTTGCCTCTGTATATTTGTGAAACTTGCTTTCTCAAGTAGACAGTTCCAAAGGACTCAGTGAACCTTCAAGTTCTTATCACGATCCTCACAACCTTGCATGAGCTTAGAATATTTAGTTGCTGTAGAGTGTAAAAAGTTTGAGTCCTAGATGAGCACAGGGCTGAGAAACCAAGGTTAGAGATAAAACATTTGATGAAAGCAGCAGGAAGGAGCAAACCTGAGAGCCAGAGGGAAGGGCTGACTGGTATTAAGCAAGTTTTGGAAAAACCTAAGTCATCTCAGGGTGTTTCAGAGTGGAGAAGAGGAGAGCAGAAAAAGTCACTTGAAGGCACTTGTGGGCAGGAGAAAGCACCTGCTTAGAGAGCAGCCCTGTCTGCTTGATAAAGCAAGTTTCTCAAATATACAGAGGCAAACTGTATAAAAAGAGATCAGGGAAATGGGCTGTGATGAAATCATCCAATTAAAGAGTCTCCTACCAAAAGAGCATCATTTACAGATGAAGTCATGTTGGTTCTCTCATCAGTGCAGCCAGCCCTTGTAGAGAGCTCCTGGAGAGTCAAGCTCCAAGCATTACCTGCTGCAGGTGCTCCGTGCTGCACTCATCCTTGTTCACATCCAGGTTCACAAAGCAGACCTGGGAAAGAGGGCAAACAGTGTCAATTAAGTGAAAAACCTGGCAGTCCTTTTTGAAGAAAGCAGGAATCAGTTTGGGGCAAATGATTTGAGGGTCCTACACATATTATGTAGTTGATCTGGCACAGAAACAGCCATTTCACCTTTGGGCTTCTGTGTGATCTCCAACATCCTGCTCATGATTCCCACCAAACCCTCTTCCTTTCACGGCCTGACAAACAAAACCAAGCCTATTTCTATTAGAACCAGTGTAAGAGTCACAACAAAATCTTCAGGTTTATGAAGTGTTATCGAATCTCATGAAATAGGCAAAAAAAACTTGCAATACTCTAATCCTCTGTTTACAATAACAATGAACACTTCTCTCCATCTGCCTCTTTCCTCTCCTCATTTCCTGCTTCCTTTGTCCACTCACTTTTCATATCGTGTGTGATAAGTGGGTTTCTCTTTGTCTCATTGTTTTAGTTAATTTTAATTTGTTGAATCTTGTATAATTTGCCTCTTTTAGCCATCTTAAATAAATGCCTGAATAAGTATGAGTATAAAAATAATAGCTACAATATGAGATAATAATAAAGAACAGCAATAAAAGAATTGTTATAAGTTAAATCTCAAATACATCACATAGATAAATACTACTATGGGCATTCAGATGGGAGTGGGGACAAGAAAACCTAGGGAAAATTTTCAAAGGATGGGATATGTTTTTGAGAGATCAGTAGGATTTCGGCAGGCCAGGAATGGGGCAGGCATTTCCTGGTGGGTCGGATAGCCTGAGTGGCACTTGGAGGCAGGAAAACTCAACACACTGTAAAGAAACAGGGAGGAAGGGAGTCTGATTGCAGCACAGGCCTGAGAAAGGGAAGGGTTAGAAATGAGGTCTTGGAAGATTCATGTTGAATGCGATCATGCAAATGAGGTTTTAGAATATTTTGCTAAAAATCGTCCAAAAGGTTTTACTCTGAACAAGTTGATCCTATCGTATAATACTGAGAAAGTTAATTATCTGGATGTTTAGTCAGATGTTTAGACTTAAGTATTTGCCTGTAAACATAGGGGGTCTTCAGATTTCAGTTAGTTTGGGGTCATGGTTTCTCAGAGTCCATTTTTTTTTTTAAGGTTAAAAAACATAATTGAAAGATTTGGGGAAAGACTTTAAAACTAAAATAGTTATACATTGCTAAAGTGTAAAGATCACTACAGTTTACTCCCAAATAATGGGATATTTCCTCGGCTTACAATACCCTTGCAATGCATCCCTAGGAAACAATATCTGCTGTTAGGAATAACTTTAAGGGCATTTGGGAGGAAGGAAAGTCATGAAATGCCACCCACACTCTCATTCGGAGCTTCTCTTCCTTTGGGTTAATAAGATGGGTCCATAGGGAGGAATTTGGCATGAGCCCTTTGTGGACAGTGCAAATGGGAGCAAAAATAGTAGGTGGTACTTGGAAGGGGTTCATGATCTAGAGTAGTTTGAGAATATTTATATAAAAAGTGAAACTTTACCCTTGGAAAATTGGTTCAATATCCACTAGTACTCAGAGACTTTTAATAACAGCAGCTGGGAAGGAGGTTACTGAATTGATTAGACAATTTTCCACTCACCTTAAAGAAGGGTGCATTACCTTGCCCCTGGGCATCACAAGGCTCTTAATACCTTATCTTACAGTGGGAGAGGACAAAGCAGAGACCAAAGAAAGGCATCTGTAATACAGATGATCCTGACTTACAGTGGTTTGACTTAGAATTTTTTGACTTCACACACACACATTCAGTATAAACTGTACTTCGAACTTTGAAGTTTGCTCTTTTCCCGGCTAGTGATACATGGTACGATACTGTCTTGTGATGCTGGGCAGCGAGCTGCAGCTCCCAGCCAGCCATGTGATTATGAGGGTAAACAACCGATATACTTACAACCATCTGCACCCAGGCAACCACTCTGCTTTTCACTTTCAGTACAGTATTCAATCAATTACATGAGATATTCAACACTTCACTACAAAACAGGCTGTGTGTTTTGATGATTTTGCCCAACTATAGGCTAATGTAAGTGTTCTGAGCACGTTTAAGGTAGGCGAGGCTAAGCCATGATGTTTGGGAGGTTAGGTGTATTAAATGCATTTAGACTTAGGATATTTTCAACTTACTATGGGTTTATTGGGATGTAATCCCATCGTAAGTGAAGGAAGACCTGTAATGATTTATCTTCCCTCTGATATTGTCTTTAGTTCTCTGAAGATGAACTTTCTTTTCATTCCCTCTGGGCTGCAATGTGAAACTCGGCCTATATTTGGAGGAAACCCTCCACACTTGCTAGCTGGGCCAAGAGTGGAACAACATAAGACATAAGATGAGCACTTGCTTATACTTGGCACATAAATCTTTCTATATCTTGTTGGTAGGAGATGGTCCAGGTTTTTAGGGTCTGATGTACATACAATTTCAGCAGAATTTCCTTAATAAAAAGAATAAAAAATTGAAAATTCTGAATTAGGTATGCAAGTGGCTATTCACTTATTTAGAAGGAGAAAAGAAATCACAACAAGCATCAAATTTAAGAAAGCTCACAAATACCACAAACATGACAACTTCCAGAAAAATGATATTTTAACTAACCAACTGCCCATTACACCTCCATAATATTTTTTCCCTATATTTTTGGCTCCATACTATTTGATTGTCTCTTCATATGACAACAGTTTTATAACATAATTTTCTCTAGAGAGAATAGAAAGATAATTCAGTCTTACTCTAATATTGTTGATAGATTTGTTTTCAGCTTTGCAAACTTTTACTGATAATGTCTTATACATTTTCCACGTTGTCAAATTTAGTGGGAAATCACTATAAAATTTCTTTCATATGTGCGTTGTTATAGGCATACTCATTACTTTTAATACTGTTACAGGTTTGTGCTCTGCAAACATAAGAATTTGGATAAATTCTCTTTTGTTTGATTCTCATTAAAAAAGAAAAAGAAATTCACAGGGCGGTTATAGTTTTTGATGCTGCATTACCAAATAAATTCCCTCCCAGAGAGAACTTCTGTGTTGACTCATCATCAGTGAGAGCCCAATTTTGTATGTCTAATTTCACATGTCTGATGACTGGAAGAATTCTCCACAGACTAGCTTCTGGAACATAAACCTTGTCTTCTCTCCACTACCTATATATTTCTGGTGTTGGGGATGGTAGGACATGCTCATATTGTGAAAGCACCTCTGACCTGACACCTTCATGTCACAACGTCTGATTGAGTTGCCACTGTTGATGGTGGGAGTATTCCTGGAAGCCATTCCTACACGTGGATGGCTAACCATCACTTAACTATACATGAGAGTGACCTCAAGCTACATAAACATACCTCACGTAAACTTAGCCCCACTCAATTTCCCTTAAGCCAGATCCTACACGTCTGTGGCCATTTCAACGACTCTTAATGTAAGGGGAGATAAGATGCTGAATGGAAAGAGACAGCTGTAGTTAAAATATCTTCCTTTTGAAAATTTTACAAAAACATATAACTATGTGAGCACATTGCTAAGTCCCCTCTCAGGGCCCTGGGAGTGGAGCCTGTGCACCTAAGGAGCCCTGAATTTTAAGCTTTGATGGTTTTACAGTAAATCCACATCATGGTGAAATGGTCCATGTGATGTGATTGCTCTCTGCATATGCTCACTCTCTGTGACCTTGGGCTCTTTACTGGAGATTTAGGCATCCACTAATGCTAAACTCCAAGTGGAGAATATAAGAAAAGCCTCTGTCTAGAAGAGCTTGAGAATGGTGTGTATGGGGTAGGGGTTTGTGTAGTTTGATGAGAGGATTAAGTGCTTTACATCTCCGATGTGTATGATCTTGGTGCTGGGTGCTGAGAAGACAAAAAATTCTAGGTATTGTTCTTGCTCTCAGGGAGTTCTGGTTTGTCTGGAGGCAGAACACGTTCCTTAAAACTATGAAGAACAGTACTAAGTATTATAGGAGTGACAGGCTTATTGGCTGGGGAAGGAATTTGGGAGAATGGGGTCAATCACAAATGGCATTACAGAGAAGGATGGATTTGAGTTGAGCTTGGAAGGCAGGCAGGACACATCTAAAAACAGAAGAGGGAAAATGGCACAATAAATGGATGATTTTTCCCTGATCAGCACCTGTTGAGTAATGATAAGAGGCTCTGTATAAAACACAAGGTGAGGAGAGGGAGAAGACAGAAGCTGGGAAGTCCAAGGCAGAGGTACTCCCTAGAGGAACTCGAGAAGTGAGATCAAAGTTGGTGGGCAAAATGCCTTTCTTTCTACGCAATGAAGACTCTGGGCATATTCAGCAGATTTTAAAGAGTTGAATGAAAGAGGAAATCATAATTTTATGATACACTCCCTGTGCAATAAAAGTTGAGAGAGACCGAAGGGTTAGAATTAGATATTTCCCTCTCTGTGAGGGAGGCTGCTCTCATGTTATTACAGGAGGTTACAAGGGAACTTATGGTAATGGGAAAGTTGAAATAAAGTTTCTAGGGGGCTAGGGTGAGTGCTACATGTTACTAAAATATTAAAGCCTGGGAGATTCTGCATTATGGTTCAATGGGCTGTGCATTGAAAGGGGTCCCTCAGGGTCCGGAGGGAACACTGTGGGCAGGGAGGCTGAGGCTGTATGTCCGAGATACTAGCCAACTGGGGATGAGAAGTAACTGCTCTGTGTTGATTCTTCACCTTAACCAGAGAGATGCTATTGGGTTATCTGTGAAATGCCTGAATGTGCAAGTCCAAATATGCCAAATGACCCAGGGAAAGATTTTTTTTTAAGTAAGTGTGTTGACTTAATTACCATTTTTCCTTAAACATAGTACTTTTTCCTTCAGGTTCACTGGATTGTTAGTTCATGAGGGCAGGCCCTGCTCATCACTGTGTTCTTAGTGCTTAGCATAGCCTGGCATTTGAGAGATGCTAATAAATGCTTGTTGATAAATGTGTATGCATGAGTGAAGTGGAAGCACTGTCT